TTCTACAATAAATCAATTCTCATTTTCAACCACACATTTTTCAATAAAATAATATTTTCCATCACATCAATAATTTTTTCTTCTTTTTCAACCACACATTTCCCATCATATCACTATTCAAAATCAATTCTTCCCCCAAAAATCTCTTCCAAACAAGCTCTAAAAAACCTAATTTTTAACTAAACCAAACATGAGCTTATACACAGCAAAAAATGATCGAAGTAAGAATTAGTCTCTTTCTTTTTGAATGCTTACGATATTGAGATACTCGTCTACCAAGATATTAGGACAACAACTTCGAAATATTAGCACTTCAAATTTTGTGAGTAATATGATAGGACATGTATTCCTTTGGACAATATAGGCAAAATGTTGGGAAATTTACGGTATCAAATCGATTTATTAAAATCAATATTGAGTGAAATACCTAAACGTACATAGTGGAATTAAGGATTAAAATATTAGTTAAATAAAAAGCGAACATATCAATACTTCTCAAATGTATTAAGATTTGGGGGTCCATCTTAAAAAGTCAACCTTATTAAGAGGAGTAACCCAAAATCTTTATTAATTGGATAAAAAGCTTGATGAAGATTTGGTTTTGTTATGATTGTGTGTTGGTTCTTGGTTGTATCAGTGTGAGTATTTAAATTAAATGACATACATTATTTTTTGTATGACTTTTCATTTTTTATGATGCAATATTATTTAAAAGTCTAAATCGACTAATCAAACCAAACCGAACCGATTTGGTTTGGGTTGGTTCGCTTTAAGAGCTAGAGTGGGTTGGTTTGGGTCGAAATTTTTCCAAACCGACTAATTTGGTTTTGGTTTCGGGTTGGGGTCGAAACCGACCCAAATCGAACCGCGACCACCCCTATGTATAAGTGTGTGGGCGATCGATTTTTCAAACCTGGATAAGACTGCATCTAGGATTTCTTGGATTAGAAGAGACAGCGCATATTGATAAGTATAAATTGAAAAGCTCTTTTATCTAGTTCTTCATAATAAATTTTTTTTGAAGAATGTAGATTCTAATGTTGTTACACAATATAGTTCTTTCCAAGCCGCATTGCCCCAGATTGAGAAGTGATAAAAGTCTTTCGAAATTAGTTTTGGTCTTCAATTAATTTGGCCTTTTTAAGTTGCCATTTAGAGTATGTTTAGTAAACCCTTTTAAAATTTATAAGTTGGTTGAACATAATTTTTATCCAAACATTTCGTAAAATCCACGGTTTTTATTCAATTATTATGAACACGTTCCTTAAAACTCACAGCTTATAATCTACAATAAAAAAAAACTTAATCAAACATTCCGTCTTAGTTGATTGTATACTTTCTTTGAGCCGTGTCAAGTTGAGCGTACACATTGTATCACCCACATTAGATTATGACAAGTAAATCTTGATCAACCAATATTGATTCCAAGTAAAGTAGCACAATCATTTATAAGTTTGTCTATATTTTTATCTTTATTGGATGAGGAATTTTCAAATTTTAATTGGATCGAATCGCTCGTTTGAACTTAATGGGCCATGATACCATATTAAGACTCCGGTTCCATCTTAAAAAGTTAACATCATTAAGCGGAGTAAACCGATCATTTATAAGTTGATCTACATTTATTCGATATGAGATTTTATTCATTAACAGCATCAACCATTTCATCCCCACTTTTCAACTAGCATTCTGTTTTTGATAATATTCAGTCATTATCTTGAGCCATTCATACCTGTTAATCCCACTGACTCATGATCTTATAGCCTGATTGTGGTCCCTTTAGATTTTGTAATCCAAGGAGCAAATGCCCGTTCATTTTCCTAGAATTATTAGTAGGATTTCTCCCCCTCACAATGAGGTGGGTCCGACCTCAATAAAAAAACTCCCCAAAAATGTAGCCACCGTCCCCCCCATGTGAGAGAGCCGAGTACCGGCCTGTGAACCAAAGCCTGATACCCCAACTCGGCTCTTATTAGTACAATGTAATCACATTTAGTACAGGACAATCTTATACTTTAAGATGGTCGTCGGCACCTAATCCTACTTTTCAAGAAAGTGTAGCACTTTGAGTTTATTGTGCACTTTGTCGAGAATGCTGCAGAGATTTTAAAGATAATTTTATCTAGAAGTTTAAACAATTTAAGATGGTGCATATTATTTATTTAAATATGAATTTCACACGTGTCCCTTCCAAGTGCGAGTCAATTCATTTCTTTATTAAGCCCTTGTTTGGCAGAGGTTAAAATCAGCTTTTTAATAGATTTTAATAAAAGTTGATGAAATGTGGAGATCAAAAATTGTGGATTCTACAAAATAGTTAAAATTAATTGTTGACTTTGACTTTGACTTAGACTTAAACTTTAATCAAAATTTTTAGCGTTACCAAACGGGGAATAAAAGACAGGAACACGAATGGAGCCCAATCATATAGTATTTTAAACAATTATGCATGGAATGTGTTATTTATTTAGATTTAGACTTGGATAGTACTTCTATTAGAAATTTTGATCTTCTCTCATGTTTACCTAGATTCAACAAATCGATCTACCGAAGGTAAAAGTACTTAAAAAGTAATTCCCGGGCTTGTCTATAGATTTTAACATTTTAAGAATAAGAATCATTCAATTGAAGATGCGAGTGAGTTTCACGAAATATGTGAATAATACTGGACATAAATTATAAAAATATAGTTAAAATTAATATTTGATTTTAACTGAACGTACAAAGTACTAATAAATTTGTATTCAAACGGAGGCTAAGATGCACGAAAACTTCTCAATGAATGTATTTAAAGCGCGTGCATTAAACACGTAAAATAAGTTAGCTTTCTGCTATCCACGGCCCCAATAGAGGCAGGGAGGATATACTTCTCCCAAGTCTGAGACAGGCAAACAATCATATGGGACCTAACTTTATTTTTGAATAGATAGATTGGCCTCCCATTTGGGACTTTCCTTTTAGTTCAATGCATAAAGGCATGTAGGCCATCCTAATTTTAAAAAGTTGTAAAACAATGGAGATCATCTCAAGATTTATATAATTGAGAAAAGCTGTGTATGTTT